TCCTCACCCCTGAGTACTAAGGTGGAATGCCTCGTTTTTAGTAAAAAAGGTCTCCGAATCTCTACACTCACCATATGAAACACAGTAGTATTAAGCTGCTTTTTTACGCTGGTATTCTGTGAGATTTCAGAATTTCAGATATTTTCAAAATTTGTCACTGTAGTCGAAATCGGTCGCTACCACATCATCTAAACAGACACAGGGGTAGATGCCTAAACTTTACCGTTACCATCACTGTTATAGGATTTTTTATTTAAAGGCCTCTGCTGAACATATGTAGGTATAAATAGATCACATCATAGAGGGAATATTAATCAAAGATGTCACGCTTAGCAGACGTGACATGGTTGTTATTATTAGGAAGACGTCGCTGACCATGTCCTGCCGCCTCCCTCTGTCGATTCTTACGACACCTACGGGAATATTTGGAGTAGTGGATATTCTCAGCCGCCACTACACGGTAGTAGGATCACCCTCTGACAAATTACCAACGTAAAATAGCAGCTTAATGCTGATGTGCTCCGTATAGTGAATGTAGAGTACGGGAAATCCCTTTAACTTGAGAAGAGGCATTCCATCTTTGTGCTCAGGGGTGACAACGCATCTGCATTGTGATTCTTAATCGATGATAAATGTAAGTGTCTATGGAACACAGCATCCACTTAGCACCAGGTGGACTGTGTGCTCGCTTGTCACCCTTATTCTACAAAAGAATGAGACTATCCTATTGTAGATTGGCATACGCAGTATAGCTTATGTAGTAGAATGGAATACGCAAAACTTTCGTTTGACACTGTTACATCAGAGTGGATTATGCGGGGCGTTAACAATAGTAAAATCGACATATATAATGCATATTCCTCTTGCATCTCTTACTATGAATAATAAGGGCAGTTTTCATTTGCGTAATTATGCAGAATAGTTAATATATATATATAAATTTTTAGGAAGTCTTCAAATTAGCCTAGCGGATGATTCTGTAAAGTTTGGTAGTGATCGGATCAACAGAAGTTTTTTTTTTTGCATCAATGACAGTGTCTGACAACGGAAGATAATTTGCACCAACTGAATTGCGAATCTAGGTTTCGTGCGCATCGCATCGTTTAATTTATTTGAAGGTAATTCAATTCCAATTTCAATGAATTTATTAACATTCCTAATTAAACAATATAACTATTCTAAATTTGAAATGATATTTCCTCAATTGTTTCTTCTGCAATAGATAAGCTAGTTTATAAATTATTATTGTCTTCTCATCACAACCTTGCATTTTCTATTGTTCCTCCCTGATTAAGTACACAATATCATGCAATTTCAAATAGAAACTTCCATTGCAAATTGAATAATTAAAAAAAAACAAGTTAAATTTGGAAACAGAAAGAAATATTAATATTTTTATACTTTTAGGTATAAATATACTTGAATGAAAAAAGCTAAATTTTCTCAATTTTATTTTCTAATGCGGTATTTAATTTTCATAAAATAATATCTAAAAATATCAAAAACTACTTAACTATTTCCAAAATTATTGCAACTCTGTTTATTAATTTTTGTAGCTGCTCCAATAAGATATTGTTACGCGCTCCAGTCAACGATACACTAGCGCCATCTAGTGTCAGGAACGAGAGCGAGGGGAGCATTGAGAAAATGACATCACAAATTACTCAACCGACAGCGCCTAGTCGAAACTCGAACGCTCGGTACCTTGCCCGTGTTTACTTGAACATTCTGGATATTTCTTTGCTAATTTAAATATATAGGCGCTGCAAGATGCGATGGAGGCAGTGTTGATTTGGGCGAAACAAGCGAAGCTTCGGAGTGGAATTAAGTGAATTAGTGTGTTTAAATTATTAGTGTTTTAACTCTAATTGTGTAAAGTAAATTAAAGTGTTAATTTAGGTAATTTTATCGGCAATTTTTATTGTCACGAACCTCAAGCTCGTAACAATTGGTGTCAGAAGTGGGATAAAATCATGCCGATTTTACCTAAGGAGGAAACGGAGGGTGTCCGTACCCGAAATCAACGCCAGCAGGAGACGGACCAAAGAAGATTTGGTGGTGCAACGCCGCTGACGTCGGAGGGCCAGCCGCCGGCTGCAGGCCCGTCAGTAGCTCCTCCATCTGCAGCACCCGATTTAGGTGCTCTGATGGTGATGCTGCAGGAACAGGCTCGCCGACAGGAGGAACAGGTCCGTCGGTTGGAGGAGCAGCTGCGGGGTGGACAGGATGAACAGGCTCGTCAGCAGGCGGAACAGGTCCGTCAGTTGAAAGAGCAGCTGCAGAGCGGACAAGAGGAGCAGGCCCGCCGACAGGAGGAACAGGCCCGTCGGTCGGAACAGCAGATGCTCCTCATTAAGGACCTTCACGCTACATTCGGGAAAGAGATAAGGGAGGTGAAGGATAGGGTTGCTCAGCATGACAACCGCCTGTCGGAAGCTGAAACCCAAATCGCGAAAGCTGAAACCCGAATCGACCAAGTGAACAATCGGGTTGACAACGTAATGGCTGACATGAAGAAATCACTGGACGAACTCAAACTTGGAGATGGAGCTACAGCTCCCGTAGTAGCTATTACACCTTCGCTACGTGGGTTCAAGGTGCCACCATTCGACGGGACTTCTTCCTGGTCAGCCTACAAAATCCAGTTCGAGGCTGTTATGAAGGCGAACGGCTGGAATAAAAGTCAGGCCGTGACTGCTCTCACACTAGGCCTGCGCGACCAGGCCTTAACAGTTCTGGAAGCTCTCGGTGAGAAAGTGACTTATGAGCAACTCCTTGAGGCATTGGAGGCGAGATATGGCGACGCTCACCTGGAACACGTCTTTCGTGCGCAGCTTAAAGATCGTGTGCAGCGCATCAACGAAAACCTGCAGCAGTGGGCTCTAGAGGTGGAGAAGCTGGTGCGAAAAGCTTACCGGTCTGTACCTGCGCTCATTGAAGGGAACCTGGTGCAGACATTCATCGACGGCATCCGCGACCTGGAAGTCAGAGCTGCTGTGAGGCTTGGGCACCACGAGACGCTTAAGGACGCCTTGGCCCATGCACTGGAGGTAGAAGCCGTGCGGCAGGATCATCGTTCCCATCTCGTCAGGGGAGGTTGTAGCCGCTACAGTTCGTGACCGCAGCAAAGGATACAGCCCTAGGTGCTATGGCTGTGGGGAAAAGGGCCATCTTCGATCCAGCTGCCCTAAACGAACCGTGGAAAGGAGAGTTGATCGATCTCGAGAGGGTAGTGCAGCTAACGGCACTGCCTGGCGGCGACAGGATCATCGTTCACCTCACGCTAGGGAGGTTACAGCAGTTACGGTTCGCGACCACAATAAAAGATACAGCCCTAGGTGCTATGGCTGTGGGGAAAGGGGCCATCTTCGGTCCAGCTGCCCTAAGCACACCCTAGGAAGGGAAGGTGAACGGACTCAGAAAGGAAGTGCGGCTAACAGCACCGCTCAGCAGCAGCAGGAATACGACTTTACTATCAGACACTGCAGCGGAAAATCTCACGGCAACGTAGATGCATTGTCAAGAAGACCTTGTCCTAAAGATTGCAACCATTGTAGTAGGCAAGAGAGTAAGGAGGTGGTATCCGTGAGGATGCTCAGGACGGACCACCTCAGCAACGAATGGAAGGACAACCTACGACATGCACAGCAGGAAGATCCGGACATCAAGCCGATTCTGGGATGGATGAAGGCCCGTGCTACCAAGCCTAAGTGGAGGGACGTCTCAGCGATGAGTTCAACCACGAAAAGCTATTGGGCACAATGGGACAGCTTGCTGATTCAGGATGGAGTCCTGTGCCGTAAATGGGACAATGGTCGAAGAGAGAGCTGTCGTTTGCAAATGGTTGTCCCTAAAGCTAAAGTGCCGAATGTTCTACAGTTGTGCCATAATGGTCGTTCAATAGTCCATCTGGGAGTTAAACGAACTCTACTGAAGGTCCGAGAACAGTTTTACTGGGTCCATTATCGTGACGATGTCGAGGATTGGTGTCGTACATGTACAAGTTGTGCGGCCGTGCGGGGACCTCGGACACGTAGTAGAGGAGCACCGAAATTGTACAATGTTGGTGCACCACGGGATAGGACAGCCCTTGACATTGCGGAGCCGTTACAGAAAGGCGCAAGAGGGACTCCTAAGATCGTCCATGTGAATCGCTTGGCGCGTTATTATGGGGCCGATAATGCTCGGGACGAGCATGTCTTAGGAGGGGGCAGTGTTACGCGCTCCAGTCAACGATACACTAGCGCCATCTAGTGTCAGGAACGAGAGCGAGGGGAGCATTGAGAAAATGACATCACAAATTACTCAACCGACAGCGCCTAGTCGAAACTCGAACGCTCGGTACCTTGCCCGTGTTTACTTGAACATTCTGGATATTTCTTTGCTAATTTAAATATATAGGCGCTGCAAGATGCGATGGAGGCAGTGTTGATTTGGGCGAAACAAGCGAAGCTTCGGAGTGGAATTAAGTGAATTAGTGTGTTTAAATTATTAGTGTTTTAACTCTAATTGTGTAAAGTAAATTAAAGTGTTAATTTAGGTAATTTTATCGGCAATTTTTATTGTCACGAACCTCAAGCTCGTAACAATATTATTAAGAGCAGAAATTATCATGATTTTGACTTTTCTTTGTTTTATATTATCAGGTTATAAATTATCACATAAGTTTAACATCGTGTAAATGAAAAAAAAAACTTGTTACCGTGCCCTGTTTCGGGTGCTACTGTTACTTCGTTACTAATACTAATATTATTTTTCAGTCAAGAAATTTAGGATTAACAATATTTTTTAAATATTTTTTAATAATAACGTTTTACGCTTTAGAGTTGTTTTTATTTCTGTTACTCTTTTATTGTATGAACCTCCGCTATGTGTCTTTACGAAGTGCCTCTTAAAGTTTTGCTTCATTGGAAAAAAAATGATATCAAGAAATTTATAATAAGTACAAAAAAAAAAACAAATAATTTTATTTAGTAAATATATATTAAGATCAGTCATACTCATCATCTGCATGCCTGACTACAGGTTCGAAGTTTTCTGAACTTTTTGCGAAAAACTTATGTACAACTGCTTCGTTGTCATCTTCTGTACGATGTTCGTGTGTCTCATCATATCCATGTTTTCTATTAAATAATCGGTTTAATCCATTAAAAATTCCCTTTTTTATATTAAGTATGTAATCTTTGAATCCTGGCTTATAATAAATATTATTATACAAGCCAGAGTTTAAAGGAATGTTTGGTTTGTCATCGTACTCGGCTTTAATGTGAAGTATACTAAAATAACTTTTCTTTGCTTTAGCGGCAGATTCTTTATCACTGTTATAATTAGCTTCATCAATAAAACCGTAATTAGGTTTATTATTGTTGTTGGAAATTACTGGGTTTTCAGTGTTGTTTTTATTATTATTATCGGATACACTTGCGTTGTTTAGTGGTCTAGGTGTAGTGTAATTATAGATTACAGGGCCGATTTTAGTGGTTGGGCTTGGTATGTCAACTACAATCTCTGTAACTTCATATGTCGCAGGTTTTGAAGTACTTGTTGTGATAATGTCATTCGGTATCGTTTTAACTACATCTTCTTTGTCTGATACTTTATCATCATATCTATAATCGTAGTAATCATCGTAATAGTTTTCATTGGGTTTATCTTCTTTTTGTTTACGGGAGGCCAGCACGAAACCAGCAAAAACGACCTGAAATTAAAATAAGAATTTTAAAACATCATCGTTAATAGACATATAGACATAAACACTCACGCCTGTCACCCAGAGGGGTAGGCAGAGACTACAGACTTCCATTTGGCTCGATCCTGACACACCTCTCTTGCTTCCTTCACATCCATACACCTACGCATACATGCTCGTCGGTTAAGGGTACTCCTAATTTGGCCCGTTTTCAATAAATCGCCAATTTGGTCGATAAATTTTCGCCTAGGACGTCCCTTTCCGACTCTGCCATTCACTTCTGCACCATAAATTTTCTTTGTCACTCTTTCCTCATTCATTCTTTCCACATGACCAAACCACCGAAGCATTCCTTTCTTAATCCTGGTCACAACATCATCTTGCAAACCACACTCTTCTCTTATTACACAATTTCTTACCCTGTCATTCAGATTCAGCCCTAACATACTCCTTAACGACCGCATTTCCACTGCGTTTATTCTACTCTCGTGCTTCTTCTGCCACACCCAACTTTCACTACCATACGTTAAAGTAGGGACCAACACAGCATTGTGAATTGCCATACGTGCCTTTTTCGACACATTTTGACTCTTCACAATAGAGTTCAAGGCCCCATTTACTCTATTTTCCGCTAATAGATCGTACTATAAACCATGTAGTGGCGGTGTAGGAATATCCACTACCCCATATCGTCTTGTGGGTGTCGTAAAAGACGACAGAGGGAGACAGGCAGGAGATGGGCAGCAGCATCTTCCTGATAACAACGCAAAATAATAAAAAAACTGCGGTTGCCAACCCACTCCACAAGCATGTCAACTATAGCAAAATTCCTCCTATGACGCAATTCCTGGGGGAGGTACCTACGTTCAGCAGTGGACTTTTATAGGCTATGATAATGATAATGATGATGATGATAATGAGATCGTGCTACTAAACTAAGTGGGGCTGGTTTTCTGACTTCTTTTTTTTAATTCTTGGTTAATACTAATTTCTGCCGTCAAAGAGCAGTGCATTAATCTTCTTTTTTAGTTTTTCGGTTTGACAGTGTGAGCAGCTTGCATTGCTGTTTTCTGAGATGTAAGTGCTGTTAGCCTATGCGGCTCTTAAAGCTTCTTAATAACAGACAGGGTGGTATGGTATTTAAGTCTTCAGAAAATGTACAGACGCATTCTTTGTATAAAGTTGGTGCAGGTATACTGGGGCTACCGGGGATGAGTTTCCGTCTAAACGTGGTGAAAAAGTTTAACAGCCATGGATCTTTTATCCAATTAAACAGGAACTACCTGGGGAGTCAGCCCAAGGTATCCATTTTGCTGCATTTTTTTTAAAACTTTCTACGACTTCTTTAACAATTGCAACTGAGTATGATTGTAGTGAGCCGTGGTAGCTCAGATGGTTAACGCTCGCTGTAAATATAACAGAACGCAAGTAACCCGGGTTCGATCCCCGCCGGCACCAATGAAAATGTTAATTGCAATTTAAGTGCTGATTTACCACGTACTCGGCGGTGAAGGAAAACATCGTGAGGAAACCTGCATGTCTGAGGAATAAGAAAAAAATATATTTTGAAGACATGTGAAGTTCGCCAACACGCATTGGGGCAGCGCGGCGAACACATCCTTGCCCTAAAACCCTCTCAGAAATGAGGGGAGGCCTGTGCCCAGCAGTGGGACGTATATAGGCTGTAACTTTTATTATTTCAGTTAAGCACTGGCTTTTAATGAATATAATAAAAACAGTAGCCATATTTCTCCCCTTAAATATGCAATATAATATTACATTTTACTGATCTTTTATTCAGTCACACGTCGTTGTAGTGTAGTGTAGTGTAGCCCCGACGTCAATATATATTAGAGTTAAGGTTATTTGAGTCCTTTTTAAGATCGATGTGTGAGCAACAACTTGACAAATCAAATTGATAACCCTCAGTTTTAAGATATTCAAGCCGCTACAGCCTCTGCGTGACCCTTGTCGCTAAGGTCAGCAACATATCACCCACGAAATAGATTTTTCTGGTTCCATTCACTTTCATCGGGGCGAACCATAACAATCTTGTATTTTGTTGCCATTGTGGTTATGTTTTTATTATATTTTAATTATAAAACCGACTAAAAATTCTCTACCCCCATACCCAATCTAATTCTTCACATCATCATTAAATACTCTAAAAATGTAGTGAAGTTAGTGTGTAGTAATGGCGTTAGAATATTTATTACTCCAAAATCATCCAGTGAGTGTCATAACATTCGACAGAGGGAAACTGAAAAATAAAACAAACCGTGGTTGCTTTCTCGCCTACCGAGCGTGGCAACTGTGTCAAAGTCCTATACTCAGCAGTGCACTTTTGATAGGTTCTAATGCAGTGAAGTAACAACCAAATACAGCAGGCCGATAAAAGGTGATGTGAATTGAAAAATAATTTAAAAAATCCTTTAAAATCCTAAAGAAAATTGATTTCATTCGAAGGTACTGGACTCAAGAATGATGAATATCAAAAAAAATATTTGGCGTTTAAATACAAAACAAAACTGTAACATAATTCAAAGAGCACAATTTTTTTTTTGCAATAACAGTTTCCACAATTTAGCTTTTATCGGTTGTAAAGTCAGTTAATAAAAACCATCTCCACTAAATGCCTGTCGTACCCAAAATTATTGACCGCCTTCCATAACAATAATATTGTTACCGAAATGGCATTTAATAACATAATAAACTTCTCAGCCTTTCATGTCAAGGAAACGCTGAGTCTTATAAGTAAATAGGCGTCACCATCGTTTATTGAAATGTAATTTACATAGACTTTTTATTCAAATGGTTTTCTATCACGAATAGTAGAGTAAAAATAGAATTTAACTTTGCACTAAATTTCCGATACAATTTTTATTTTTTATAAGGTTTAGGATCACTTACTAAGCATAAAACCACAAAATGCTGACAGGTTCAGGTGGCGCTTCAAGCGCCATCTTGAAAAAACTTTTTCAGCCGATATCTCGGAGACTATGCACTTTAAGCCAAAAATTATAAAGACCATTATTGCAGAAACTAACATTTCGCATCTTTTTTTTTCAGTAAATTTTATTGTAAAACTTACCGTTTACTATTTATGGCCCATTTAATGAACCGGTTTTTCTATCGCGGCCAATAACTCTTGAAATATAAGATTAATAAATAAAATGCATTTATCCATTTTTAAAGATAAGTTTATTCTCTACAACTTTTGTTTCAAACTTTTTCTATAATAATGTCCATAATGTCCATACTTTTTGAGTTATAGGACATTTAATGTTGGACTACCGGGCGTAAAGTTAAAAATTTCAAGATACGCATAGCTGCCGCGTCACCTGCCGAGCCTCGGCCGAGCTAGGTCGTTGAAATTTTCAACTTAAATTAGATGAACTTAAAGACCACATATTTTTTATGTGCGAGCAGCTATGCAGGTCTAGGTAAAGAGACCAATATCACTGCGACCTAGAAGATCTAATGTGATCGCTGCTATGGCTATAGTTCACTGTTAAGCCCTATGTCTTCAATGAATCGAAGGAGTTGCTTAGCCGTGAGCAATTTCACTTCTTCTGGGCGGAATAGATAGTGTCCCAGATGAGTGTTACGTTTGCCCATTAAGGGTCCGCAATCGGTTAGGATGTGTAGAGGCGTTTCTTCCGTTATGGAACAGAACCAACACATCCTTGAGTTGCTTAGTCCCAGGATGGACATGTGCTTTTTAAGACAACAGTGTCCAGTTAGGGCTCTTGCCAGAATGCGCAATTTATTTTTACTTAATCCCAGGGTTTCTGAAGCGAATTTACAATCAAAAGCCCGGATTAAGGTTTTAGAATGTTTTAAGCCTGGTGTGTCAGACCAGATCTTAAGTGATTAGGCCACATATGGGACGTATAATATACGATTTCTTTACTTGATAGGGCAGTTTTATGAACAGTGGACTATTTTATGGCTGATGAGGCTTTAATTCGGCATCCGAAACATTTTTGCCAATTTAGAAAAAAAAAACAGTCACGTTATTACTGTCTGGTCTACCAAATACCATAGTCGTTCTAGGGTAAAATCGTGACCGATAGAGAAAGGCTGACTGAGATGACTAACCGGAGCGCTTCAAGGAATTGAGATAGGTCACGATTCATTAATCATTCATTAATAAAATATATTATCCTTATAAGTAATATGATTTATAACCAACATTTTAGAACGGTGTTCATTTATACGTTTTCATTTATGCGAATTGATAGCAGCACCAGATGTCTCGTATCTTTGACTCTGCTCACCATCCGGTTACGGAGCTCAGAGTATGATTATATTACACTAGGATCTACACGGGGTAGTTATCATTTTGCTATAAAATTAATGTGACAAGTAAGCACACAGTCCGAAGTTGCTCAACGGACGATGACTGGGCCCAAAGTCTGGGAACACTAGGTTCTAAATGGGTTATTAATTTAATTTATAGAATACACGAATTGCATTTCATAATGCTGTATTAGTCCCTACTTTAATGGATGGTAGTGAAAGTTGGGTGTGGCAGAAGAAGCACGAAAGTAGAATAAATGCTGTAGAAATGCGGTCTTTAAGGATTAAGCTAGGGTTGATCTGAATGACAGGGTGAGACATTGCGTGATAAGAGATAAATGTAGATATGCAAGATGATATTGTGACCAGGATTAAGAAAGGAATGCCTCGGTGGTTTGGTCATGTAGAAAGAATTAATGAGGAAAGAGTGACAAAGCAAAATTATATGGTAGATGAACGGTAGAGTCGGGAAGGGACGCCCAGAGAAAGTTTATCGACCAAATTGGCGATATTTTGAAAATGGGCCACATTTGAAGTACCATTAACCGACGAGCATATATGCGTAGATATATGGATGTAAAGGAGGCGAAATAGGTATGTCAGGATCGTGCCAAGTGGAAGTCCGTAGTCTCTGCCTGCCCCTCTGGGTGACAGGCGTGAGTGTTTATGTTATAGAATAAGAGGTTCATGCGAGCTCATAGTTCACC